AGATTTAAAAACATACAGAAGGATTTTGAACTGCATTTGAAAAGGAACTGGGAGCCAGTGCAGGGAGGCCAGAACTGGAGTAAGGTGCTCTCTTTTGCCTGAACAAGTTACAATTTGGATACAACACAAAGGTCTAACAAAACGGGCACAAGACTAGAAAAATAAAAAATAAAAAAATAAACAGAAAACTCTTGTTCATTACTTTTGCTTAATACAATTGCTACTGTTTATTAAGTAAAATTCATCAATACTCCCATCAACACTCTTTAGTTTTCTTCTCTGATATGGAAATTGCAGCAGTCCTTTGTCCAGTTTTACGCAGCATTCTTGCGGTCACATCTGTTGGGTATAACGTGCCCACTCTGCCGTATCCATTTCACTGTGACATCTGTCCACAGGCGAAAAATTAAAGCCAAGAATCTAAATGCCTATGGAACATTCTGCCAAGTATTGATTTACTGTTACTCTTGCAGCATACATAGACAAACCGAGAGCTAACATAATCACAGTGAGATGATCGGAAACAGAAAACGTGCTCATAAGGGCACAGACACAGATGCAGACCCTTTTTCTTTTGTATTCTGGATCCTGGGGTGAGGAAAAGTGGCAAAAATGAAGAAGATGTGTTCAGCTATCATGTTTGTGTGTTTCACCAGGGCCTCTACCTTGGTGAGAGCACCTCCCTGCCTGCAGATCTCAGGGTCTGGAACAAACAGTGGTTCCTTCTTAATTGGGGTGAGATCTGGGGCTTAAAGGGGAGCCAGGATGGGACCTGAACCCCTTTCTTTCTCCTCCAGAATCGCTTCGGCTGCAGAGGTTCTTTTGATGTGTGCTTTGGCTCTGCGAGTCCTACTTTGGAATATGTTCTTGGGAGACCAATGGTAACTTGCCTCCAGGCAGAATCTCAATCCCCAGGATCCTGGCCCTCTTTGATGAAATACTTTCGGGAGTCGCTAACCCTACTGATGCCCATGTGCGCCTCCTCCCTCCTCCTTTACCCTCTTGTTCTCTCCCACCTCAGCCTCCCTCAAACACTCCCTGCCCACCCCCACACCTCACTCCCCCATCTCCACTACCACGTTCCTCGGATTCTCTTTGAGAGATTCATAACAAGGACTTTGTCTCTGTGTAGTCCAGACCAGATGAGCACCGCCTGACAAACTGACAGGAGTATTAGTTGTGTCTTACAGAACTCCTTCGACGGTCTCCTCCCTCAGCTCGCCATCCTGTACTCACAGAGACAAGTATTTTCATTTTATCGAAGCCAGGTCTGTTAACATTTATGAATATATATATATATATATATATATATATATATATATATATATATATATATATAATTACATATAAAGGCTTTTCAGTGGCACCAAACTGGCTTATTAGTTTGGATTTGTTAACTTTGTGGTTGACTACATCTCCCATGTTGCAAAGAAATATTCAAAGTAGCGGTTCACAAATGCAGTGCAACTTTGCCATATTTGCCATCGAGAAATAAATCCTCACAATGTGATAAAGTCAAAGCCAAAGACTTTATAAAGATGACAGAGATGTTGACAGCTGTGACAGAGAATCTTTTGCTTTGATTGATTCACTGCTAACTCTATCGCAACATTAAGTACCAGGTAATTAGTGATATAACCTTCTTTAAATCTAATTATGTTGAATTCTTTATATGCCGCAGTGGCTGACTGGTTGTGTGTCAGAAATCAAGATAAATAGCCCAATGGGTCTGACGGACTTGACCTGTCTGCCACACACATTCAAATCCTGGTTAAACGATTAACCAACCGCCCAGTTTTCCTTCACAAACTCCAACCTCCATATTGATTAGAACTGCACCCTAAAGACCTCTCTCTTATCACATAATTTCCCTGTATATTGATTATGTACATTGATTACACTTAACCCTAAGGAGCAGCTTTACTTTGCACTCACCTTAAAGGGTCAGCCCAGGAGACCGTTTCAGGCCTCATAAATAGACAATCGCTTTAATATCTTTTGAATAAAGTCTGCAAAATGTATCTGATTTATTTTAAATGCACAATACAACATTGTGACTTTATATCTGGCTAGAAAGCTCATTCAATTTGGGCCACAAACGTTTTAACTATTAAAATAATGCAACACAATAATACGTTTTCTGTTTTATATAATGTGTTCAGGCCTCCAGATCCAGATCAGCACCTCCAAATCTGAGGCCATGGTCCTCAGTCGGAAAAGGCTGGGTTTCTCTCTTCGAGTCCAGGTTCAAGTGGAGGAGTGCAAGTATCTCGGGGCTTTGTTCACGAGTGAGGAAAGAATGGAGCGTGAGATTGACTGATGTATTGGTGCAACGTCTGCATTATTGTGGAGTTTGTGCCGGTCCGTTGTGGTGACGAAGAAGCTGAGTTGTGAGGCAAAACTCTGTTTACTGGTCAGTCTACGTTCCTACCCTCACCTATAGTCACAAACTCTGGGTAGTGACCAAAGAATGAGCTTGTGGTTACAGGCGGTTGAAATGTTTCCTCCATGGGGTAGCTGGACTCTCCCTTAGAGATGGTGAGAAGTTTAGTTATCCAGGAGAGACTCGGAGTAGAACTGCTGCACCTCCACATCGAGAGGAGCCAGTTGAAGTGGTTTGGGCATTTGATAAGGATGCTCCCTAGACACCTCCCTAGGGAGATGCTTCAGGCTTGCCCAACTGGGAGGAGACCTGGGGAAGACCCAGGACACACTGGAAAGACTATGTCTCTCGGTTGGCCTGGGAACGCCTTGGGGTCCTCCCAGAAGAACTGGAAGAAGTGGTTGTGGAAAGAGATGTCTGGGCCTCCCTGCTCAAGCTGCTTCCCCACGACCCGACTAGGGACCAAACAGAAAATGATGGATGGATGTTCAGGCCTGACTTACAGGTAACTATGGTTACATATCTGTTACAGATTGTGGAGCTGGCTGTTTAGCTCAAGTGGATGTGATGAACAGAACAATCCTAAACCTGTGGGGGCAGAGATGGGCACGATGTGGGCAGCAGTTGAAGAAAAAAAACAAAACAAGCAGGAAGTCACAAGACAAAAAGGGAACGTTGATTAAGTTTTGAAAAATAAAAACAGTACAGTAAGTACCATTTGTTGATGTATTTATGACAACAGAAACTGAAATAAAATAAATAAAATGCACATCACCTGCACACATAAAATTTGTTTATTGGTTCATGAAATATTTTGCTAACAGAGAGACAGCGTTAACTTCAGTAGTTAATGACCAAATTTTAAATGAAGCTTTATGCAATCTGTCAGTGCTCAGAATAAGTATTTAGGATGTCTCTCAGCTACTACCACACCATATATTAACTCATTATTTGTAAAACTGATTAAGTTGTAGCCATTTTTGTGTTTGCTGTGGCAGCCATCTTGAATTGAGTTGACTTCAAAAGTTAGTCTAGATACATCCAATATTACTTTCTGAGAATTTTAATAAAACTCATCAATTGATTCACGAGATATTTTGCTAACAAACAGACAATCAAACACACAGAGTCCAAAATATTTTGGCTTTAGGCAGTGAGTAATAATAAATAAATCAGACCAACTATAAGTTGCAGAAACATTTACGAGCCAAAACTTTATTAGTCAAAAATAACCTTGTCCTTGACCAAATCTTTTACACGGTACACATTTGTTGTACTTTAAACTTGACTGACCGTGTTTTGCAGTGTAAGTAGCCTGTTGTTGGTACAGATTTCAAATAATCAAGTGTATTTTAGTTAATTTTTACACTGTTGTTTATTGTTTAGTTTCCTCTTTGCAATAAAATACTTCCAAATTCTTAGTGCTGTTTCAACAAGTCACACATTTGTCTGAAGAAAAATAATGTTAATGGTTAATGTTTTAATAAATGTTTGAAGCCATTATACTTATTGAATTACTTAATTTTATGTATTAAGGTTCTTTATAGAAAAACAATGAGATCTCTAGTATTTTTTTTTAACTCAAAAACATTATTTTTAAAATACATTTCAGCATATTTTCACTATTGACTTTTTGTACTTCTAGCTTTTTGCTAAGGTTTAGCTAATGTTAGCTTTTAGCTCTTGCCCTGCTACTTAAAGCTAGTTTAGCTCATTTTAGCTTTTTGCTATGGTTTTGCAAATTTTATCTTTTAGCTACTCTTACTAAAATTAGCCTTTAATTGATGTTTTACTGGTCTTAGCTTTCAGCTACAAGTTGGCCCGTTTGAAATTATTTGCTACTGTTTCTGCTAATTGTAGCTTTTAGCTACTGTCTTACTAAAATTAGCCTTTACTGTGTTACTGGTCTTAGCTTTAAGCTACAAGTTGGCCCGTTTGAGTTTTTTTGCTACTGTTTCTGCTCATTGTAGCTTTTAGCTACTGTCTTATTAAAATGAGCCTTTACTGTGTTACTGGTCTTAGCTTTAAGCTACAAGTTGGCCCATTTGAGTTTTTTGCTCCTGTTTCTTCCAATTTTAGCTTTTAGCTACTGTCTTACTAAAATTAGTCTTTAGTAACCTTTTTACTGGTCTTAGCTTGTATACAAGTTTGCCAGTTAGAGGTTTTTTTTTGCTACTCTTTCTGCTAATTTTAGCGTTTAGCTACTGTCTTACTAAAATTAAGCTTTAGATACTGTTCTACTGGCCTTAGCTTTCAGCTATAAGTTGGCCCGTTTGATATTTTTTGCTACTGTTTCTGCTAATTTTAGCTTTTACTTTACCAATTCAGTTAACAAAAAAAGCTTCAAACATCTAAACAAATGTAGTCAGCATTCACACTTCCTCTACTTACATTTATGCTTTAAACAGACTAAACTGTCTCTACTTTTTATCTTCCAGATACTGAAAGAAAGAAAGAAAGAAAGAAAGAAAGAAAGAAAGAAAGAAAGAAAGAAAGAAAGAAAGAAAGAAAGAGCGGGGTTCACAAAGTAAAAAAAGGAGGGAGGCAGTGAGGAAAGGAGGGAACAGTCCGAAGGGAGGAGTCAGGCGGCGGAAGGAGCAGCTGGAGTCCCACACTTCTTCACCCTCTCTCCTCTCGAAAAAACGCACTAAATGTAATAAGAAGTGTCCGCGCGCTTCTCTGACGCCTGTCTTGTTTTGCCGCACATCTGTGGGCTGCTGCCGGCACACAAACTCGCTGTTAGTCCGCTTGTTTGAACGCAGCAAACTGTGAGGAGAAGGAGGAGAAAGAGGGAAAACTCTGGCTGCGCTGTTTTGGAGTTGGAGTTGCTGCGTAAAGAAGAAGAAGAAAAGTCCGAGGCAACTCCAGAGGCACATCTGCAATTCAAGAAGAGAAGCAGAAAGCTTTATTTTTTTAAACCCAAAGAAGATATAAAGTGAAGAGTTGAAGGGGGAATCATCCAGGAAGAAGTAAGTTGTCATTCAAACCAAACAAAGTTGGATATTGTTACGTTTTTTTTTTTTTTTTTTGGAGTTTTATGAGCCAATGAGACTTTATGAAGCAGCAGAAGTTTCAAATTTCAAACCGATGATGGAGTTTCATCCAAGCAGGAACTCTTAGCGTGTTAACTATAGAAATGACTCGATTTCTGATCTTAGCTCAGACAAAACTGCACAACAGACTGGGGATTGTCCCAAAATGGGGATTTTTGGTGTCCAACAACAAGACGCGTAAAGCGCCAAACTTTGCGTAAAGTTGAATGAACTTGAGTTAAAGTCAGAAAAATCATCTTTGAAGCTTTTGGAACAGATAAAAACTCCTTATTCTGTTCTGGGGCTTGGACTGAAACTTTGTCCAGACTTGAAACTTTACTGGAGCTTTACCTTAAGAAACGCGCATGGTGTGTGTTTGTGCAAGTGTGTGTGTGCATATTTATGTGTGCACGTGTGATCATATTTCAGCGCCTGTTTTTGATTTGTTTTATCCTGCAGGAGAGCGGCAGACTTACAAGAGCAGTTAGGAGGACACATGAGTTTCATCTGAGAATATTTGAGTTGAAATGTGACCAAAGCTGCGCCCTCCTCCTCCTCCTCCTCCTCTTCTTTTCTCTTCTTTTCACGTCAGTGCTCTTAATCATCAGTTAATTATAATAATAATAATGAAAAAAAAAATGCTGGTTAAGTTAAAAGTTTTACAAAAATTCTTATAATTTCAGTTTGAAATATTTCCATTGTACACATTTAGCACTGAAGTGTTATTTGTTGTATTTTTTATCTTCAAAAGGTAAAAAAAGAGAGAAAAATGTCTTCTTTTTTTTTCTTGTGCTACCAAATATTTTCAATCATTCAGATATATTTTTTGACCAGGCAGAATTAAATATTATTATTTTTTTCTCCAAAAATAAATACATCAAATCAAACAATCCGTTAAAAAGAAAGAAACATGTTTAAAGACACATCACTGGCATGCCTCAGAGAAATTTAAGACACCTCCTCCCCATGGGGGTCTGTAAAGGGTGTCATCTTTGGCCCCCGCAGGGGTCATGGTGGACACTGATTTAGGACTCTGAACAAATTTAGAAAGCATAAAAATCTAACTATTTTATTCTAAATACAGCTGCTTAGAGTTTGGTCTTAATCATGAGCAGGCGTCATTAAAATGCTAATCATCCCAAATATTAATAATTCAATAAATAATGTCCCACTGATTCAAGAAAGGTAAAAAATGGTCATGGGGGAAAGACGTTTTTCTTACTTCGTGTGTGTATGTGTATTTTTTGGGGGGTCTGATGTGAAGACGGCTCCACATGTGCAGGTTTTTGGTTGAAACTTTCCCTCCTGTTCTCGCCAGCTGTTCCACATTTTATCTGCTCTCGGGTTTCAAAAAGCAACGAGGGTCCGAGGTGCTCAGCCATGTGGCGAAGCTCACATAAGTCCGTTTTCTTTAAATCGTTTTTATTTATTAAAATTGTTCCTCTAATATTAACAAAGGTTTTGCAACAGAGAAGATGTTGAACAAGTTCACACAGATACAAATCAACTTTTATTGGTTATTTAAGAACATTTAATCACCTTTTAGGCAATGTTTTACTTACATTTGTTAATTAAAATAATAAATAGTTCTATATTTTAAAGTTCCTGTTTCTTTATTTTATCTTTAAAACAGAATAATTTTTATTTGGATTAATTACTGTTAAAAAATGATTGAATTCAGATAAAAAGCAGAATTATTGGCCTTTAATTTAATACTATTATTAAGCCAAACATCATTTGTAACAAAATATTTTTGTAATTTGTTATATTCTAAATAATGTAATTTTCCCTTCATTCATATGAATTTTTCACCTTGTTGTTAATTGCATTTACTGCTATTAAAATATTTATGTCATTTTAGAATCCACGTTCATAATGACAGTTTTTATTTTCACAAAGTTAAAATTTCAGAGAGTATTAATGAAATAGGGTTAAATAATTTTTTTCACAAATATTAATATTTACATAAATTCTGTGGCTTCTATAAAATTCTGCACTTTTTAGGTTTTTGTATCACAGCATGAACATTTTTCAAATGTAATGAAATAAATAATAATAATGTAAAATATAATTGTGTTAATCCATATATTAATAGCTGAATCTTTTTAACTAAAGGGATTAACAAAGCATACTTGGACTGATTTATCAAAAGATGACCTGACTGAACATTGTTGGATTTTTACCTGGATTATTGAGCATGAACTTTGATGTTTATCAAAAGGTGATTAAAAAAAAATATATATTTTTAGTACTACGAATATAAAGGTGTTTTAAAAAGCTCATATGAAGGAATGACACGCACGTCTGAGCTCACTGCTTGCGACAAATGTTTCCTCTGAATCAGCCTGCTTGTTAGCGGCAGCTTGCTTTTCCTTTCTTCTCTTTTATCTCAAATTTAAGCACTTCCTGCAACAACAATATGCATAAACGGTGCACCGGCCCAGGCCATCTGTGACCTCATGACTCCAATGACACATTTTTAAAAGTTTTTTAAAGGTATGGCCCTCTACTTAATTTACATATAAGGACTGAAGGGAGTCGTGTCCTCAGGCCCAGATGAATACCTGTTACGAGGCATGAGCCACTAATGAGCTATATTGTTGTGTTGCTTCTGCAACCTGAGGCTCACAAGGAAGTGACAAATGTTTTGTTAAAACAAAGTGTAATGATGGGGAAGTTGATGATTCTTAAGATAACACAGCAAGATTTTGTGTACTCTTACAGGTTTTATGAGCTTTCTTGAGATATCTTGCTTCCTGAATAAATTTGGGAACTCCCCGACGAGGCGCTGATTGTGAAAATTACAAGTTTGCACTAAACAAATATTCATAGGAACCACCTCGTCCGTGAAAGTTTGGTGTAAGTGTGTGATTAGCTGTTGCTTCCCTCGCATATGGTTGAATAGATGGTCCCCATAAGAAATCCTCCCCCTGCTTTGATGATTTGCTACTTTGATACGCTGACATCAAATGAAACAGACACAGTGGGGAGAGAAAGAGGACAAGTCAGACAGAGGTGGGGATTGCGGGGGGGGGAGCAAGTGGAAGTGTGTGCCTCTGTGTGAAAACTTGGGCAAACCTGAGGAGCGTCAAAATGTCTGGATGCATTTGCGTACCGGCAGAGACAAGAAGGGATCTTCGGGTGCATGAGGGCTTCTCCTTGGCCTCCTAATCCCCAGGCCCAGCCATCCCTTCAGGGCATGCCTCAGATCTGACTCTCTGGCTCTCTGCATGGACGAGCCAGCTCCGCCAGCAGATTTAATATGCTATGTGTTCCCACTTTCCCCCGCCTACCTCCCCCACTGTCGCTTCCCCTCCACCTCAACTATCATTGTCCCTGAGTGGGACCCTCGCCGCTTGTTTCAAGGAGGCACCTTTCAAGCCAAGGTGATGTCTTTGGATAAGGGGGAAAGTGGGGATGAAGAGGGTTTGAGAATCAAGATAGCAAACTGCAATTTTAGATATGTATATTCCTCGCGTTCGAGAATTTTAATACACTCGGGGCTTTTTGCTCTGCCGTCATCGCACTGGAAAAGCATGCATGCTCGTGCATTCATTCAAGTTTTTTTTTAAAACTTGGAAGCATTCGTCTTTTTTCATTTTTACAAATAAAACAGAAATGGAATAATAATAATTAAACGTAAGGGCTTTATAGCTCAGCCGAAGGGGCTTCCAGAAACTCCAACCGGTCATGACAATTTCGCCTGATCTCAAATAGGGAGGCTCATAAAACTGCCATAAAAATATTGGAGGAAAAATAGGAAAAGGTTTCACTTATATTTAATTAAGCCATTCAAATTCATGAGTGTTTGACAACTTAACACAAGGGCCCATTGTAAGTGGTGGTAAATTTTATGTCTAAAATTGGGTGTAAGTATGCGGAGAACCATTCCCCTCCCCGTTAAACACCTAAATGGCAAACAGGACATGTCGCGCCTGCATGTGGCTGCCCCTCATCCCCTCCTCTGTTTGCTTTGGACGCTGTAAAAATGTCTTAAAGTCTGTGGTGTGAAGTGTAGCAGCACGAGGCGAAGTGCTCCGGTTTGAGGCCCATCTGTGTGTAAAGTTGCGTGCCCCAAACGGACAAGTTTCCCGGGTCTGCGGCTGTTTGTGCAGATGTGTATTGTGTCAGCTTTGATGAGAGCTGGTTGTGGCATCCGTGAGGGGGTCTGGGCTTTTTTTTTTTTGGGAAGACACACACACCGACCGCTTGCTGTGAACAATGATCTGTCACTCACCCCTGCTTCTTGATGTGTGTCACCACGAAAACCCCTAGTTAAGCAAGAAAAAAAATGTTTTCTTAACTGTGCTTGATCTAAACCTTTGTGCTCACAATAATAATTAGGTTATACGAAGTCCATGTGTTTGCTCTCCCGTGCTGCTTGTCTTCCAGAGGGAGTTATCCCCGAGCCTCGCTGCTTCCTGGAGTGGAGGTCAAGGAGGTGTCTATTGTTTGGATGCCAAATGTAAATCCCAAGGTTAATACCTGAAAGAAGCCCAGACATTCTATTTACTCTCCAAACATGTTGTAGATGGCTGCCTTATCCCCCACTCTGCCCCCTTTATTTCTCTTTTCTGTGGTCTTGGAGCAATCTGGAGAAAAGAGGGGGAGTAGTATCCCATGTAAGCCCCCCCCCCCTTCAGTGAGTTCTTTTCAGTAATGAATGCTAACAGACCCTGCCTCTAATCATGCCTCATCTTAGAAAAACAAAGGGCAACTCTACTATCTGAGCAAATTTCAGCCCCGGTCTAAAAGAACCCTTCATTGACAGCACAACATTTGAAGACTAATCGTTTTTTCTCATGCAAAGTATGCAGCTTTAGGAGGCCGGGCCATAAAAAAAGAGAGGGGGCTGTGTTTTAACAATACTCTGCGGGGAATGAGAAACAGGGCTTGCAGAGGGGAGTTGGGCTTTGGGGTTGAGTTTTCAGGAGGTG